TGTGCCTCACTGACAGATGTGGTGAAATGACAGTGACTGCTCTTGAATTACCTAGCAGAACGCGAACAGAGGTTGCCTTGGCAATGACTCAAAAGGATGGCCTTCAAATGAGACCACTGCTGGAAGATGATTTCTCATTTTGATCTCATTTATTCAGCTGCTCAGATCTGCATTTTGTTCTTCTAGTTGCACTTCTCTTTCCATTGCATACACCTAGTAAGATTATGTACTCAAATGTATATAATTGTTTTATGTACTCTGTGCACAGAAATGCAGAAAGCATGCAGATTTGCATTATGGGTAACAGGATCATGTGTGTGTGGCGGCTTTAGGAGGCACACAGCGTGTTGATCTGGGAAGACATGAGGACAACTCCCGAGACCCCAATCTTCTCATTACTTCACTCCCTTTCATTTCACAAATGACTGAACTCTTGTCAGCAGGGCTGGACTGGGACAAAAAATCGGCCCTGGCATTTTTTGGTCCAGGCGGCCCATCACCACTTCGATATATATATATATATATATATTAATTTCTATCATTTCCCAAAAAAATAAAAATCAAATAAAAATACTGACTCCAAGCTTTTGAATGGTATATGTATAATGTTACAAAAGCTTTTTATTTCATATGAATGCTGATCTTTGGATCTTTCTATTGGATCTGTCTTACTGTTTAAAAAATGTTGACTGGTAGTGTATGTATGTAGCCTATGTATCACACTCATATCACATCTTGTTTTGGATAAGAATAAAACGTCAGGTCCGAAAATATTGTGTCATTTTTTATTTAAATCTACACTCTAAAAATGCTGGGTTGTTTCAACCCAACATTGGGTCAAGTATGGACTAACCCAACCATTGGGTTAAATTTTTACATTAAATTTTTAACCCAAAAATTGGGTTAGTCCAGCATTTTTTTAGAGTGTAGCTTTATTCGCATTGGCCCATGGAAACCTCTATGAACACACTTGACTTGACTTGGCTAAAAAATCGCGGGGAACGAATTTACGTTTTATTAAAAAGTGTTTACACATACACTCATAGGATAGGTTAGATTCCTGCCTCCGTTGCGAGTCCCTATCAAGCACTTTAACAATTCAACTACTCTTTTCTTCTCCTCCTGCCTGGCTCTTTGGCCTGTTCTTGATAAATCTGCTGTGAAAACGTGGGAAAAGCCGACGAGGAAGAAGTTGGGGTGATGCGATCTTTATAAAGGCGGAGCAAAATACTTCATTGCTCCGTCTATAGCGCATTGTAATTGGATGTTTACGCTGTCAGTACAGGAGACAAACCAATGGGCCACTGGCTTCTCGCTGTCCCTGCGTGATGGTTTTCGGCAATTTTTTTTTTAAAACATTCTGTCGACCCCTTAAGTGTGTCGGCCCACCGGGAAAATGCCTGGTATGCCCAATTACCAATCCAGCCCTGCTTGTCAGTGTGATTATGAGTGAGCGTCTCCACCGATCCATTAACCTGAATTTGAAATGTTGTGTTGGATTGGACAGTGTCAGTATGTTAAAGTCTAATTATAATGGGCAGCAGCGTCATTCTAGCGTCCATTGTCTGTGGTCATAGTTTCTTGAAATGCAACTGTTTGCACTTGGGTGTGGTGGCAAATAACTAGGTTTGTCGATGCTGGGAAGTCAGGGAAATTAAATTAAAGATTCTAAGATCCTTTATGATTATATCATTTGAGATTATGTTTGGACTTTGTAAACCATAATCGTTCAGGTCAAGGGTTGTATCTTTCAGAGATGTTGTACAAAATCTGTATGAATTTCTTAGCATAAAAAATATATTTTGAAGAATGTTTGACTATTTTTGTCTATACAATGAAAGTCAATGGAGTACAAAACAGCACTGGACCCCATTGAATTTCATTGTACACTGTTAACTGCAAGGTTCTTTGGGGAACCAAAAATACTTTTGCAAAACTTCTATTGCATTGCTTCTATTGAAAACACCTTTTTGGAAACTTTATTTTAAAGACTATATGTACAAAAAACAAACAAACAAAACACTATTTTGACATTTTTCAAAATATCTTTTGTGTTCTGCAGAAAACCATACGGGTTTTATATGATTTAAAGGGATAGTTCACCCAAAAATGAAAATTCTGTCATTAATTACTTACCTTCATGTCGTTCCAAACCTGTAGGACCTTCATTCGTCTTTGGAACACATTCTGCGTCAGAACGCCATCTCCTGCATTAACAGCACCACGCACACTGACATGGAAGAGAAGAAATTGTTGAATAAAGTCATTATTTTTGTTTTCTTTGCTCACAGAAAGTATTCTCGTAGCTTCATAAAATTAAGGATGAACCAATGATGTCTCATGGACTATTTTAACGATGTCCTTACTACCTTTCTGGATCTTGAACGTGTCAGTTGTGTTGCTGTCTATGCTGGGTCAGAAAGCTCTCGGATTTGATCAAAAATATCTTAATTTTTGTTCTGAAGATGAACGAAGGGCTTACGGACCTGACATGAGGTATTTGAGTTACATGAGTAATTAATGACAGAATTTTATTTTTTGGGTGAACTATCCCTTTAAATGACAATTTTTATTTTTAAATGAACTATCCTTTAACTATTCCTCATTTTTAGGGGAACTATACTGTTAATGCCTCTCTTACTCACCCGCCAGTGAACTAAGATCATAAACTGTCATGATATAGGCTACAGATGGTAGAATATTGATCCAGAAGTCATTAGGTGGACATTAATTGAGTATTACATTGCAATTGGCTGACGCATTGTAGTTAATGCATATATAGCTAGTGTTTTCAACCAGATGGTGTCTCTGTCTTTTATGTTTCTAACAGCAAAGATCATAGCATTGCAACATCAACGTCTCTGAACCAGACCCTGTAATGTGTATATAGTAGTCAAAAGTTAAAATATGATGCGATTTCAAGTTTTCTTTCTCTCTCGAGTGTTACAAGCTGTTTGTGCATAGATAAGATCCCTAAAGTTGCAGACTAAAGTCTCAAACTCAAATAAATATTCTTTATAAAAGTTAAGAGTCGTCCATGCCCTCCTAAAACGCCTCGTTTAAACACGCCCCCACATGTCTACATCACTGTGTGGGAAGATTTGCATAACATCGCCCTAATGTTTACACAAAGAAAGAAGGCATAACTTTTATTTTCGCTTTAGTATTGTTGCCGTCGCCATGTGTTTTGTTGTGAAAGCGAAACTACTTTCTTTGGCCTTCCAAAAGAGGGCACAACTAGAAATCAGTGGTTAAGTTGTATGTACAACACTGTTCCAGAACAGTTCAAACCAAATATTCGAGTATGTGCAGCACATTTTATGGAGGACTGTTTCCTGGGAGAGTAGCCTACAATGCGGCTGTGCACAAAGGCTATTTCTATAAAGTGGGGAAATTCCAACTTTGCAAGGAGAGTCTGGCGCTTCTGACTCACAGCCTGTAAGTATGTTTTCATATTTAAAGAATTTGCCACTGACGATTCAAACGTGAGTTTTGAGCAGTGTAGAGTAGCGCTTGTTGTTTGTCCTTTCTCAGATCACAAATGCAGTGCAACGCAATGCGTAAAAAGACAGTACAAGTTATTATAATCAGTAATTATGTCCCCACTGGATGCAACAAATGCCTCGTTTGTAATGGGTTTTATTGGTTTTGTCTCGTCGCACCGGGACACGGAATCACTGTATGGTAAGGGGCGTAACATTTCCGTCACATGCTTGAGGAATTTGGCCAATCAATATAGAACGTGTATTTATATATTATCTGTATTTTTAAATATGTTTTTAGTATGTGTCTAAGTGTTTTTGAAAGAAGCCTCTTATGCTCATCAAGGCTGCATTTATTTTGTAAAAAAATATAGTAAAACAGAAATACTGTGATTTATTAAAAGTTTTAATGTTTTAAAATTTAATTTATTCCTGTGATTACTCCAGTCTTCAGTGTCACATGATCCTGCAGAAATCATTCTAATATATGTATAAATATATATACATATATATTTGTATATATATAAATATATATGTTTACCCCCCCCCCCCCCGATTTTTTTTTTTCATAAAAA